CGCTTGAGCCCAGGAGTTTGAGGTTGCTGTGAGCTAGGCTGACGCCACGGCACTCTAGCCCGGGCAACAGAGCAAGACCCTGTCTCAAAAAAGAAAAAAAAAAAAAATCTGGCAGATCTGGGAACCTGAGCACCATTAGAAAAAATACAACAGAAAAATTAATTATTCCAACCTCAGCTGATTCCGTGACACCACCTGGCAATGCTTGGACATTTCTCTGCTCAACTTGCTGTGGTTATTTCAAACCATCTCCACCAAGGAAGGCACTATGTATGTCTTTGCTAATACTCATTCCCAGCAACTTTTTCCCCATCCATGTCCTTTACAGAGGTTAGAAAAGCTAAACACTCACTTTCCTAGTCTCTCTTTCATGTATGTGACACGGTTCTGTCCAGTGTAATATAAGCAAAAATCTACTGAGGGATTTCTGGGCAAGCCTCTTCCTTGAATAGGCAAAATGATGCATATTGTGACCCTCTGGGAGAGGCCAAAAGAATTGCAGAAGTATTGGCCCTGCTGTCATTGAGCCACTAAACCAATGTAGCTGCCTACCTCCAGGCCTCCTATCCCATGAGACAATATACTTATTTGTTTAAGCCATGATAGGCTATCTGTTACTTGTAGCCAGTACAATCACTCTTCTGAATCCCCTGCTCCTCCACTTTCTCTCTTAATAAAAGACGTCAGCTGGTAATTTTTTCTTGCCACCAGACCTACCTTTTGCTGCATCCATAGCCACCTTGTTTTCTCCTTCCCTTTTGTTATAATGGAAGAAGGGTTCCTGCTCCACAGAGGGAGGAGTGGGAGTAAATGGGGAGATGCTAATCTTGAATCCATTCTATATTCATCTTCCAGTTGTCAACGGAAAAGAAGCCAAACTCTGTAAAATAATCTAAAGAGGTTTATTCTGAGCCAAATTTGAGGGTCATGACCTGGAGCCACGCCCGAGAAGCCTTGAGCAAGCGGACTCGCTGTGGTTGGGTTACTGTTTGGTTTTATACATTTCAGGGAGACATGGATTACAGGTAAAGTCATAAATCAATATATGGAAGGCATGCATTTGTTTGGCCCGAAAAGGTGGGCCATCTCAAAGTGGGGTGAGAGGCCGGGCGTGGCTCACGCCTGTAATCCTAGCACTCTGGGAGGCTGAGGCGGGCGGATTGTTTGAGCTCAGGAGTTCGAGACCAGCCTGAGCAAGAGCAAGACC